TTTTCAATGGGGGTCATTATTTTATAAGACTAATATATAAAATAATGACCCCCTAAGACCTTTTTTCTACAAAAAAATAATTTTTTTCTACGGGTGGGGGTCATTTTTGTCGTTGAAAAATAACCCCCGGTCATTATTCGATAGGGTCATTATTCGTCTTTACACCGGCAGCTATGTTAAATTGAAAAGTATTAAGTACCATATGTATTTGATTAAAGCCTGTGCATATTTTGTGATGTTGAAAAAAATATAACTGAATTGAATGTAATTTGAAATCATCTCTTTTTCAAGGTCTTTTAAACTAAAATTGAAACCAACTCTAACTTCAATCAAAAATGTATGAAAGCAAAAGTTAAATATTGGTAGAAATGATTCACTATCAGAGAATGTGAAAACTGTAAATTTGTGTGACATGTAATTGTGATAAAACAACCCAGACCTTACCGAAAATAAAATTTGTTCTCATAACTAATATCATTTTTTGTTAAAGTTCTAAACATATGATTACCCTTTTTTATGATCGATCTATTTTCATCATCTCAGATATTTCACATATGACAACATGGATACTTGAACTTGACATTATTGTATGTTGCATGAGTATCTATATATTTTAAGTCTGTTTTGTCAATCATTTTTACTAGAAATCATTGATATTTCACTAATCCTGAGAATCATTTAGCACGGCCACAGGTTTGCACATTTCCAGAATTACATTATGTAGGAAATATATGTACGTAATATCTATCGATTAATTGCAGATTCCACAATACACGCCATACGTCGTATATTGTAACATACATTATTCACTCAAACTGTTAACTGATTTTAAGAGAATCCAAAAATTACAATGAAAAGCTTCTTCGTTTGTTTTTTTTTTTCACAATCGGTGCTATTTTTAGAAGTTGGATAAAACCTTGTAGTGTGTTTATAAAGATAACATCGTTTAAACTGCATATTTTGTCAAACCAAATTATGGTAAAGTGTTTTCTAATTATATCATATCAATTCTTTCCTCTGATTAGTTATAATGCGTTCCTTTGGTGTATGTTTTATTATAGCGTCCCAGGTCGTCATGACGACGCGCCATTTTTTTACGAAGTTAAATGTTCGGAGAAATGCCGATGTCAAACACCTCGGCATTTTAACCGTAAGAGACCTATTACACATCTAATTCCATAAATCTTTTATTGTAATCAATAAGTGTCCACCTTTAATTTGATTTGAAAGTCTAAACTATTTTTAGCTGTTTTTTTTAAATGGTCATTTTGTTTCATGTCTTAGGGGAGGCGGAGATTGACTGATCAAAATCTAACGAACAAAATTCCGACCCACGATGCGTCATTCTGTATTTTCTCCCATCTACATCCTTTGAGGAGGGACGTTTTTCAAAGTGGATTATTTACCTCCTTCCATCCCGCCTCTACCATTTTTGTTTGATATTTAAATTTATGTTTCAGCGTTTTCAGACCCATTTTCATGATTTTTCTGTTAACTCTAAGTGGTACTTACTGTAAATTTGGATTATTTCCCTTTACAAAATTGGTTTATTTCTCTTGATATTTTGTGTCTGCTTAATATTATATGTGATTATTAATAACACTTTTGAGAATTAAAAAAAAATTATTAAACGCCACAAAGGTGACAACACATGACAAGCTGTCTTACAGACTTTTTACTCATTGACGGAGGATAAGATAAGGTGTTCTAGCGTTGAAAGGATTATGGAAAGAAATAAGCCAGTGGATGGGTAGCCGGGCTATCAAAATACTTATTGCATTAAACTAAACTTGCTAAGTGAGTTTTATTTTTGTAATTTATAAAAAGCAGAATCATAATAACGGTATAATTACTCTACATTGCAGTTCAATATTCTTGATATTTTTTGTGCATACAATAAAATGTCATTCCTATCAAAGTTGCACAACATATATATACATGTACATACTGAAAATATATGTATTGCTTAACCATGTTAACTGCGAATTAATTGCCTTTCTCTGTAACCACTCAAAAACTTCGTTGCCACGCATGGTCACCGATTTTTATGAAACTTCACCCATGCTTAGTATCTGACACCAGAAACAAATATCAAACTAAATTTTGTTGCTAGGTGTCTCAGTTGATATGGCAACAGCCGGAAAAATTTCGAAAAATCAAGATTTTCAGCCACTTTAAAATCTTGACTGTGGATTAATAAAAACTTTAAAAAGCAAACAAACTATTCTCACAAAAACATGACAACTTGATGTCACTTATACTGTAAGGAAACTGTTTAGAATATATCTCTAAGTAAGTGGTATCCGAGGATACATCTGGAATGCATTTGAAATGCTGAAATAAGCTGAAAAACACTCCGTATTCACTTATGGTAGGTGTTACATGCACAAACTCAATCAACGACTTAAGAAAAAATTGAAAATGTTTGACCTTACGTATATACGCATAAGCAACATTATTCTATAAATAACTTTTATGGTTGCCATCATAACACAGTGTAACCATGCAAAACCAGTAACTAAAATTGGGTAAATGCTACTGTCTTGAGGAAAAACATGAAAATTCAAGACTGGCAAATATGCATCCTTAAGACCTTGCAACACCAAAAACCACAGGAAAAATTGGGTAAAATTGCTACTTTGCAGTGTTATCATGGAAACAAAATACCAATGCTTAAAAGTGATTTAATTTTAGCTGCATTAAGAGTTAAATTGCTATATAATCAAGAAACAAATTAAAGGACTCAGCTTGAATAGCACTTATCTGTTAGAACTGAAGTTGAATATCATATATTGATAAAATTTGATTAAGAAAACAACATTATTTCTATGGTTACTAAAAAGGGAATGTTCGATTTTGTGAACTTTACATTAATGTTAAACCCTGTGTGCCAACTTCTTACATCGTCTTTGAGATTGAGTGATAGTCAAAATTTAGTCAAAATTTAAATTCAGGTTAGCTGTTAATAAATATCAATCATAAAAGTTTTGGGAATCTACATTTTAGGATACGTGACCAAAGAAAGCAACCATTTTTCAGGTTTTTAAGCATATATTTTCTGCTTTTTTCCATAGCAACGCTGTATTTAAAGAATCTAATCTGATTTTTTTCGAATGGGAAAACAAGAAGAACACCAACATCTTTAAAAATCGATCATTAGTTATGGGGAATTGGCTTTTTTTAAAGATAGGATCAAATCTAAACATACAAAGTGTTACTTTGAAGGATCTATGTGGTATAAAAACCTTTGCAACCATTTCCAACCTAATTGAAATATCATATTTTGATCTTGGTATATATTTTTCAAGGCTCTTTTTTCTATTATTTGGTCACATTTAATCCTATAATTGCTTTTTATTTTTACTTATATGACTAAAAACTCAATGAATATTTTTTTTTATCTTTTGTTACCATAGTAACGTATGTAATAGTTGATTAACAAAACATGTTTATAATGCATATGAGACATCGGACCTTCAACTTTTGATAACAGTCATTGCCAATTGTTTGCTTTGCCTCAAATGATAACTATAGGGCTCTAAACATGTTAAAAAATGCCATTTTCCGAACTTTAAGACATGTTGCCATTTTAACTATAAAAAGCAACCAATTTTTGCCTGATTTCAGCTTAGGGAATCAATGAATTTAATCATAGAGTTTGGAGAAATTCTGAGACAAGGCTTGCAACAGCTCCTATATAATATTTCAAGTCATTACAGAGAACCGCTTTCAAAGAAATATTACTTTATTATTATTTTTCAGGAACGATGTGTCATACAGTGACATACACTTACTTCCATAATCGTTTTTTGCTTAAAATTATGAACTTTACAATTTCTTTTAGAAATAATTTCATATCAATTATATATCGTTACATGTCGTAAATGAAGGCCATATTTTTTCATATTCGTGGTTCATACATGATTTACCAAATGAAATAGTGAAGTGGTATACAACAATCTACGTGAAAACCAAATTAAACAAATTAAATTTATCGTCTTTTACAAAAACAATAATAAAAACAATAATAAAAGGATAACAGTTGATAAAAAACATATTTCATCTTTTCTTTTATGTGCATACTGATAATTCTTCGATTAGTTTCAAAAAGTATGACAATAAAAATATATAGAGGGTTCAACAAACAAAAACACATTTAAACTCAAATGGGTTCATCATAAAGATGTAGCTATGTTAAATAAACAATTATAAAGCACAACATGTATTGTCTTTACCATGTGCATATTCTTTTGTTGTTGAATAAAATATTGGTTGGTTGAATGTCATTTGAAATTTTTTTGTTCAAAAAATAATTTCAACTAAAATTGAAATAAACTCCAATTGCAATGAAAAAAATATAGAACACAAAAGTAGAAAATTGGTAGGAAACTAGCAAACTAGCAGACACTGTGGAAGACGTTCATAGAACATATATATCAGTTTCTGTTACATGCGTACTAGATTACATGTACTTACAGTTCACGTAAATTGTGTAGGCTGGCAAAGACATTGTCCGGTATCGTGGTAATTCTGTTGTCGTTAAGATATCTACGAAAAGAGCAACAGAAATTAAGTATAAATAGTCTTTTTACAACATTCGACCTGATCTTCATCAAAATATATGTGAGGCGCCACGACAAAACCAGGCTTGTTGAGTTTAACGTCATAATCGAGAAAATACCGCTGAAAAACACACTTGAAAAACGCACAACGTTTTTACTAAACCACATTGTTTACAAAAATAAAATTTATAAACTAGGCCTATAACTTCTATCCAGAATATTGTTTTTAAAAGACTTACTTTATCTAAAAAGAATTTTTCAGCAACTGTTGATATTTTTTCGTATATGTTTTTCATACCGATTCGTCCTTTGCCAAGATATTTTGTTAGAGTTATCGATCGTAGTAAAAGCGAAAGTACGTAACCAGTATAAACAACATGCGGGAAATTTCGCAGACGACAGTTTATTCTCTGATGTTTTAGGAAGTTTGTTTGTATAATGAGCCAGTCAAACACGGTTAGTGAAGTGCCTGATGAAATTATTTTTCATCAAGATGAACATTTCATTGAGGAAATAACAACTTTAAACGGTTTGTATTTTGGAAATCAATCAGAGTTTGTTCCCTTATCATCGTCCGAAGATGAGGAAGAGGAAAGATCAACAAACTGTACCGGTGATATTTCAGATTCAGACACTGAATTAGAACTCAGATCAGTAGACATTGATGACGAAAAATGTGTTGAAGAATTCAAATCAAAAACATGTGGCTGCAGTAAGTTGTACGGTGTTCCATGTAGTACGAAAGTAGAGTTTAGTCACATACTCGAATACAGACAACAGTGTCAAGAAATGTCAAATGAGGAACTTGATTTAACTGTTAAAGTTCAATTGGCAGCACACAGAAAGTCTAGTACATATTGGCCGCAGTCTATGAGCAAAAAGCAAAAAACAAAGGACCGAGAAAGAGTAGCACAAAAGTACTATTTTGCAGGACAGCAGGTCTGTCGGGATACTTTTCTGTTTTGCCACAGTATTGGGAAATTTAAGCTAAATAACATAGCTTCTTCCCTTGATAAAGATGGTCTCAAGCCAAGAATTCATGGGAACACGGGTAAAATGCCTAAACATGCACTCATTGTAACTGATGTAAAGCGTGTTTGTCAGTTCTTAGAGGAATACACGATGAAGAATGGACTCCCCCTGCCAGGCAGACAACCAAACTACTCGACTCAAGGCAACAAAGTCCTTCTTTTGCTTCCTTCTGATAAGACAAAATCTGATGTTTGGGAACTTTATAATCAAGCAGCAGTAATGCAGAATTACAGGTTTGTTTATTGTTAGCATAATTTTGTTTAATGAAGTCATAAATCAAATATTTTCAGGCCTGTTTTAATTTTCTCATAATATTAAATATGCTTTAGGAAGTAATTTATTTTACATGCCACTGATGCTGTGATATTAAGGTAAATACTTATAAACTTTTAGCATTTTTAAAAATGTGATAGTCTGTTTAACTATCTTGAATAACTTTTTAGGAAAGTCAGTTTATCAGAATTTAAGAAAATCTGGTTGGAACAAATGCCACACATTCTTATCATGAAACCAGCTACTGATCTGTGTCCTAAGTGCCAAAGATATGTTCACAACATCACCAATGCAGGGAACTTGTCGGAAGATGAAAAGAAGACCATGCTGGAAGAATATACCTGTCACCTGGACAGAGCCAAGGAACAGAAGGAGTATTACAGGGAAAGGTGTCTGCAGTCAAAAGATTTATATCATACACACAACTTGGATCAAGCTGAAAGAGGTGTGCATAGTAAATTTTATTTTCATTTTCTAAATGGTGTTTACTTTAATACTCTAACACATCAAATTATTATAGGAGGTTATTGATTCATGCATGCTGTCTATTATCACTCTCATTCTGATTAAATGAACACACAATATATGAAAACTAATAATTTCAGTTTATATGCATATTGTTTTATTTTGTGAAGGGCAAGTGTGCACACATGACGTAACCCAGACATACAGCTTTGATTTTGCTCAACAAGTCCACTATCCTCACCATGCACAGGAAGTAGGGCCACTATTTTTCAAGACCCCTAGAAAGTGCCAAGCCTTTGGTGTTTGTGCAGAAGGAGCAGGTACATGTAAACAATAATTAGACAGATAATACTTGCATGTACACAACAATAAAACAGATAATACTTGCATGTAAACAACAATAAGACCGATAATACTTTGCATGTAAACCGGGTTCAATCACCGGTGGTCAGATAGCTCGGTTGGTAAAGCAACTGACTGGAGTTGCAGGGGGCCTGTGTTCGAATCCAGGTCTGGTCCGCTGCATTTTCTTCTCTCCCATTACATAAACAATAATTATAGACTGTTAATAACTTGCATAAAATTTATTTCATTTACAGACCATGGGAAGACAAAAGATGTTTGTAAAAAAAAAATGGAATAATAATGTAAAGGCTGCATGTAAAACAATTTTTATTTTTGCAGTAGGTGTGCAAAGATTTTATCTGGTTGATGAAGCTGAGGAGGTGGGCAAAGGAGCTAACACAGTTGTCAGTCTTCTGCATCATTATTTTGAGCTTTGGGGATGTTGAGAGAAGGATGTTGTGTTGCAGATGGATAACTGCGCTGGCCAAAACAAAAACAACACAATGATAAGGTAACTATTTTAAATAGTATTCCATTTAATTATAACTAATCCTTGTATTTTTCTTTTATTAACCCCCATGATCAATAAATAGATTGTTTTTGTTAGGGTTTGCTATTAAATAACTTCAACAGAGGGAAAAAGTCAAATTGTTGTCCCAAGTTAGTGGAGATAATCTTATAAACTCTTGCCAAAGGTCAAAGGCAACAGTTTTCCAGGTCTTCCCCACTATATACTAGTAAATGTAATTATAGAGTCATCAGTATGGAATTCTCTTTGTAGCAATGAAATAGTTCAAATACTAGCAAATGTTTTATAACCTAGTTTGTTTAATATTTTCTCAAAGTGATAATTGCACTGTGAACAATCAGATTTTAATTTTCCATGTTAATTTAAAGCAAAATTTTAATTGATAAAATGATTAAAACTAAATGCTATTACTTAATAATGTAAAATCAGAAATATTTATAAATGGGTGCCATGTCCTAATGGTTTACTTAGTACATTTAAAAAAAATATAAATTGATTTGCTGGGTGTGACAGGTGAGGTTTAAGAAACCTTAAACTTATTTATATTTATATTCTTATGTCTTGTTCTAGATATGGCATGTGGAGAGTTTTGACAAGCCGACACCGCAGTGTTGAATTCTCACTAATGGAGGCTGGGCACACCAAATTTAGTCCAGATTGGCATTTCGGCCTCTGGAAGATGAAGTGGAGACACTCAACTGCAGAAACTCTAGAAGAAGTAGTGGCATCAGTGAGGCAATCTTCCAGAAATGGACACAATATCCCCCAGCTGATCAGTGATGTTGACAGGCCTGTTACATTCTATAATTGGTCTTGTTTCTTTGATTCCTTCTTCAAGAAACTACCTTCCATCTCAAAATTTCACCATTTTAAGATTTCTGCAGACGGTCCAGGTGTTGTCTCTGTGAAGTCATATTATAACTCAGAAGAAAAATCTGTCAACATTTTGAAAAGAGGCCAGCAAGTATTTGACACTGAAACTTTGCCGTCAGTCATTGAACCAAAGGGCCTTGATGCTGCAAGACAGTGGTATCTATATGATGAGATAAGACCATTCTGCAGGGATACATCTGACAGTCTGGAGTCATGCCCGAAACCTCTGTGTCCAAAACCTCGCATCAAAGTGGATCCAGAAAAAAGAAAAAGTCCAAAGAAGCTTGCTGTGGCAGAGAGTTAAGATACTACATCAATGGAGATAGACATGTATTGAACCAGCTAGCTTCATGCAAACTTCCATGAAAATGATTATTTATTCAAATGTTAATTCTTTTGTGTAATTGATTAATTGTATGCTTGTTTTTTTTGTTTCTTTAAAAGTTAAAAAGTGACTAAATTTTTTTACCTGTTATGTGCTGTATAATTGGAATTTTTAAAGTATTTGGTCTTGAACTTTTTGCACTATAAATTTAACCTTTCTGCACTAGAATTTGATATGCATATTATAAAAAAATTACCACATACAATATGAATTCAAATGTGTAGACATCAGTGTAAGATATTTGCTTGATAATGTTATTTATGTTTTCTTATTGTTTACTTTCTTATAAAGCTAGCATTACTTCCATTATGTCTAAATTTTGAGATTTTGTGAATGAGATGTATCATTTTTGCAGCGTCATAACTGTAGAATTAAAAGGAGAATCACTCTAATATTTTGGATTTTTACTTACTCATACTGTAGCTAGCTGAAAATGCAAAAAACTCAATTTCTTGAAAAAACTCAATAAACCTGGTTTTCTGGTGGCTTATCACATATATTTAAAATTGAGATGAATAAAATCCTTAATTTTTCAGAGCAGTGCAGGCATGGGTTGGGATATTTAGATGCGCAATATCGATTATCTAGGTCACTTGTATTGGTTTGTAATGTAATTTAACATATAAATGAGCTTCATTTTTGATGTAATTAATAAAATGTTAGAAATATACAGTATAACTACTATTTTTCTGCATTGTAGCTCATTATACCTGATACTTTGTTTTGCATACAATAAAATGTCGCTCATATGAACATATAATAACATATACAAGTATATGCTGTAATATATGCTAAGCTAAACTCCAAGAATTCGACCCACAAAACGTCTTATTTGGCCTAGTAAATTTTAAATTATGAAGACGACATTAGAAAATATGTTTTAGGTTATTATTAAACTAGAACATCGATAGATTTCACATGTGCAACAATTTCGTCAAAACCAGATATTACGCAGCACTTTAAAGGGGCATTGTTTTTAAAAATGTATTCTTTTCATTCAGTCGTTCTATTATCACAGAACGTAAATACTTATGGAAATAGCATAGCACATCCTACTATGTACTGTATGGAGTTTAGTCCCATCGATGGACAGGCACGTGGTGAATGCATAGTAGGTGCACAGAATGTAGGTCAATAACAAATTTCAATATCGCAAGGGCATACCTTAGTTGAAATTAAAAATTCATGCTATTACTTGTTTCTAAATATTTTGTACTTCCTGGAAATTACTGCTGCTTTGAATAGAATATGTGTTTTAATAGTTAAAATTTCACGTAAAGAGGCCAATGTCGAAATATGTTTGAATTTTACTAAATATTTTGTGCACTTACAAAGTCATGCTCTCGATTTAAAGAAAGCAGGTGAACTTTTCAAGTTAAGGAACATATCCTCAATGTATACTCAAAAAATGGTCTTGATTTATTTAGTGTATGCCCCTGCAAAAGAGCATTTTAATGAGGCACCATGATGTAAAAAATACCTAACCTGAACATAAAACACGACGGAATTATCTAAATACATTCTCTCGATAGTGAATGAATAATCGCACTTAACAAATGATACACATTGTAATTATTAGCCTACATAAAACCTGTAAATAATATTCTGCTTTATAATAGAACGCATTTTTCCATTTTAAAAATTTCCCAAATCTGCCTCTCACAGGACATGAAATACGTCATTTTAAGCAAAATGACGTCATGATTGAAAAGTTCATCGAGATCAGTGATTTGTTTAAAACCAGCTGTATGGGATTTAACTAGCTATAGCAACATTTGTTAATGCATTGGTAAGTTTTATTGCTGTTTATTATGCTAATACAGTTTAAAGTTGAAAAAATATTTCATTTTCGGGTAATAATTAATTAATTGTATATTGTTTAACGTCCCTCTCGAGAATTTTTCACTCATTTGGAGACGTCACCGAATGCCAGTGAAGGGCTTCAAATTTTGACATTTACTCGGTACTCAGGTCCATTGAACAGTGAGGGATCTTTGTCGTGCCAACGCCTGCCGCTGACACGGGGACTCGGTTTTTACAGACCCTGAGACGTGCTACTACCCCAAAAAAGCGTGTGGCTTTCGTGCGCTTTCTGTTTCGTGCAAACCGTGTAGCGTTTCGTGTAAACCGTGCAGCGTTTCGTGCAAACCGTGTAGCGTTTCGTGTAAACTGTGCAGCGTTTCGTGTAAGCTCCAAAGCGTTTCGTGCAAACCGTGTAGCGAGCGTGCGAAAAGCGTGTGAGAAACGTGCGACTTTCGTGTAAGAACCGTGTGAGAAACGTGCGACTTTCGTGCAAGAATCGTGTAAGATTCATTCGGAAGTCATTTCATTTTAAATATGGCTTTCGATGGGTCAGGATTTAAAATTCTATAAGTATTTTATCATTGAATTAGTTATGCTTGTGATATTGTATGAGTGAAAACAAAAAAAAAATGGAACAACAAAATTAAATTAAACGGTAATGTATGATTTATATTTGTTTGATTTCTTTTCTTTCTATAGAAAATGTGTTCAAATAAATCAGCTATGTACAACAATTTTAAGGGCATTGTATTTAATATATTACATGTATCAACGCGATCGTGGCTTCTTAAACATTTTTTCTCAAAGAAAGAAAGAAATACCGGTATTATTCTTTTTTTTAATTTAAATCAAAAATATATCAGGACTCCGCTCTTGTCTTTACATTTGAAACGATGTGTCATTTAATATCTTTTAATACATAAAACTTGTTGCTCATTATTGTCAAAAAAAAATGAATTTTATAATTTTAATTCACGTGCACTGACGACCATATCTTTATAAACGAGGGGGGGGGGTGTTAAATTAAATTACTAGACAGTTCAGTCTCATTTTTTGTTGTAGCTTTCAATCTAATGTTAGTTAAATTAAATGCTTTATTTTCTATTCTTGTTTAAATTCGTTGTTAAATGTATACCCCTTATACACCCCTTATAAATGTATTGGAATCTTCTTTCCGCCTTTCATCTGTGATCAAGGTCATTTACAACAGCGATCACGGGCTCCGAGGGCATTGCAAATGAAAACCTATTTGCTATATGTACATGTTGAGTTCATGGCTTAATGACACCTGGAAATTACGACTGGATTTTTAAAAAAAAATAAAATGGTTCTTTAAGTATTTGATGGGTACAACTTATAAATCAGCGGATTTCATCTTTTATTTAGTAAATGTTCAACCAAGCCTCTTTCGTTACTTCTCACTAAAATATTGACAGTAGTGAAGGAAAAACTTCAAGAATACTGTACAACTATATATTCAAGAAGTAGTGTAAATCAGATGTGGATACTTAAAAATTCTAAAGAACTTTTGGACAATTTGAAATCACAAGATTTTACGAAAATCAACAGCATAAAAACTTACGACTTTTCAACTTTATACACAACAATTCCGCACGACAAATTAAAATCCAGGCTTTTTGATATCATTGACAGCTGCTTCTTCAACAAAAATGGAACTCGTAAGTTTACTTACTTCGTCATTGGTCATTTGAAAAATTATTTTGTTAAAACAGATTCTGATTGTACACATAAGTACTCTGAAGTTGACATCAAGAAGATGCTTGAGTTTCTGATTGACAATATCTATGTGGTTTTTGGAGACCAAGTATTCCAACAATCTATTGGAATTCCCATGGGTACAAATTGCGCTCCGTTATTAGCAGACTTATTTTCATATTCATATGAAGCAGAATTTATGCAAAATCTTTTGCGTGAAAAGAAAAAAACACTTGCTGTGGCCTTCAACTCGACATTTAGATATATCGACGACGTATTGTCAATTAATAATGATAATTTCCATTCCTACGTCGACACGATATATCCTGGTGAGCTTGAGATAAAAGATACCACAGAGTCCAACACATCTGCTTCATACTTGGATATTTTACTTGAAAAAGACACAAATGGTAATCTAACAACCAAGCTATATGATAAACGTGATGACTTTAACTTTTCTATCGTCAACTTCCCTTACTTATGCAGCAATATACCTTCATCACCTGCATACGGAGTATTTATATCTCAGTTGATTCGATACGCAAGAGCATGCTCTACGTATGAACAATTTCTTAAACGAGGTAAATTATTGACAAGCAAGTTGATGAAACAAGAATATCAACAGTCTCGTTTAAAGTCATCATTTCGTAAATTCTATGGTCGATACAATGACCTTGTCAGCAAATACAATTTATCATTGAATAATATGCTGACTGACGTTTTTCATACCAATTGTTAGTCCATTATTTATACACTGAATTGACTACGGATTTTTTCCGTTATTTCCTGATTATGACAATGAGCACATGGCGGGTGTGACCGGTCAGCAGGGGATGCTCACTCCTCCATGGCACCTGATCCCACCTCTGATTTTTTGGAGGTCCGTGTTTGCTCTGCTCTTGTTTTGTATATTTGTTTAATGGACGTTGAGA